ACCGAGTTCTTCGAAGGCGCCGGCTCCTACGGCGAAGTGGCAGCCAAAGGCAAAGTCGAAGGAGCCTGCCGAGCCGCCGCCTGCCAAGGCAAAGGCAAAGGCCCCAGCGCTGGGCATCACTGGGCCGACCAAAGATCTTTACCAGCCGTTCCGGCGAGACCCGTTGCGAAGAAGAAGGGTCCCGGCAGCAGAAGAGCTGGTGGAAGAGGACGTTGGCACAAGGTCTCGGTCTGAGCCGCCTCCTGGAGACGCGTCTGTGGACTTGAGTGCAGCCGGAGGCGCACTAGAGAACACTCCCCTGAGATCGGCGAGGAGGACGCGCACACCACCAAGAACGCGGGAAGCCGAAACTGGTTTTATTCGTGACCTTCGTTTGCGCGGTTCCGTGCTTGCTTCCCTGCATCGCGCGGAACAGGCGGAACCGGAGGCCACGGAAGAGGAGCCCACAGCGGAGGAGCCGACAGCCAAGGAGGAGCCAGCAACCACCGACGAGGCCAAGGCTGAGGAAGCAGAGGAAGAGACAGGGGGACATCAAGACCATATTGTTTCTGCCGAGGGTGCTGCCGAAGGCGCGCCAGGAGAAGGAGCGGAGGAGGAAGAGGACCCAGAACAAGACGTTGAGATCGAGGTCGAGGTTCCAGCCTCCGTGTCCGAGCGCACCCGCTCGCCTTCACCCTCGGGAGAAGCAGTTCAGGAGGTTAGGGTTGCCGTCAAGCGCGGGAACGTAACGCATAGGCCCCTAATCCTTGCCCCCGCCACAGAGATCTTCCCGACCGTAAGGTTAGATTCTCAAGGCGTGTGGGTCAGAGTCCGGGACCCTCCTGCAGAGCCCTCGTTTGCGCGTCGCGTCGTGCCCCCTCCGAGGGTGCAGCGCACCGCGCACCAGGAGGACGCAGCAGAGGCACTATCCGCACCTGATCCGTACGATCTGCCTGAGGAGGCTTGGGTCAACCCAGCACCATATAGGGCGGGTTATAGTAGTGAAGGTTTCCCTTTAGGCGTTCCGGTTCGCCGCATAGACACTTCGTCTGAGGAAGAGGTCGTGCAGTACAGGGGTGCTGCCCGAGGCGCACCTGCAGAGCCCAGAGCTGCGCCCCCAAACAAAGCGGCCTTTTGCACCAGGTGAAGTTGTTGAGGCGGAGGTTGAAGAGACAGCGCCCGTGAGGCACAGGCGACCCAGCAATCCACCGGCACAGCGCCCAAGGGTCACCCTGGTCTCTGCCGCAAAGGCCTCCGCCAGCGAGCGAACCACAGAGGCTCTGAGGATCAACAGGCCGCCGCCGAAGCCACTCACAAAGGCAAGGCCAGCAGCGGCACGGTCGGTGAGACCAACCCTGGAGGCAGAAGAGGAGCCAGGCCCACGAGAGCGCACCAGGACACCAAGACGCGCAGACGCAGTCCCCACAGAGGGTGCTGCTCAAGCGCACCGGGGTGCAGGCAAGAGCGGCTTGTTGCCCACCAAGGCGCAGGGCACCATCCCA